TGCGTGTGCGTGCGTGCCCAAGATCCCGAGAGGAGAATGGAGGAGAAGGGATTGCGGCGTGGCCATCCCCCCTGGGGGCTGATTTCCTGCTTTCTGTCTCTCTGTCTCTCTCTGTCTGTCTGGCGAGCGCACGCGCCCTATAGCAAAAATCTCTCAAAAAAAAAAAACAAACTGGACACGCCCAACACAGATGCGCCTTTAAGCCACGCCTCCTTATTGACCAGGACAGGAGAGGTTGGCTCCGCCCCTTCGGAGGGGCGGGGAACAGGACGGTTGGTTCCACCCCAGGGGCGGGGACAGAAGAGTCGGCTCCGCCCCTCAGGATGTGCGGGGACTGGAGGGATTGGCTCCGCTCCTGGGAGGGCGGGGACAGGGATTTTGGTCCCGCCCCTGGGGGCGGGGGCGGGAGTGCGGCCCCGCCTGCAACCCGAGCCCCTGCACACCTGGGACTTCTCCACCGACGCCGTGTGCTTGTCGCACATGGGGCTGATGTCCAAGCCCGAGTCGCGCTCGCGGTCGCCCTGCTGGAAGAACTCGGCCATAATGCGGTCGGTCCATTGGCGGTACAGGGGCAGCGGCTTGGTGGGGTTGCTGAGGTCGGCGCAGTGCACCAGGTTCTGCAAGACCTGCGGGGATCGAGGCTGGGGTGAGGGCGCTGGCCTTCCGGCCACCCCAGACCTGATGTCCCCTTCCCAGGGAGGCTGCAGACCGCGGACACCCCCATCTGCGAGGTGGGAAAACAGGTCTAGATGAGACTATGTGATGCTTCCTGCTTCAAGTTCTTACAGTGAGCGCTGCATAAATGCAGTCATGTGAATGCGCCAGCAGGGGGCATAGTGGTCAGGGCGCTGGACTCCCACGTGGCTGACAGTGGTTCGGGTCCCGGACACTGTGGCTTGAAAATCATACTGGGCATCTGGGCTTTTGTGCCCCAAATCCCAAGAGAAGAATGGAGGAGAAGCGATTGCAGTGTGGCCATACCTCTCTGGTGGTGATAGGGAAATATTCCTTGGTCTCTCTCTGTCTCTGACTCTCTGGAGAGCACAGGCACCCCATAGCAAAGCTCTCTCCCCGAAAATGAATGAATTAAATAATTTGTGAAATTTAATTTTATTTATTCATTCACTTTATTCTTTTTCATTTGACCAGAGAGAGAGAGAAAGAGGGAAAGTGAGAAAGCAAGTCACCCGGTCCGGGACTCAAACATATGGGAGTTTCCAGCACCTGTTAACCACCATGCCACCTGCTGGTCCCCAATTAATGAATTAATTAATTTTTAAATGCAGCCAAAGGGTCAGCTGATGACGTAGCGGTATGTCACTGGGCTCCCATATGACCAAACATAATTCCAGTCCTGGACCTGGTGGCTTGAAACTCATGCCGGGCACAGGTGCATGCATGCCCAAGATTCCAAAAGAAGAGTGGATGAGAAGGGATTGTGGCGTGGGCAACCTCCCCGGGGGGAGGTCTCTCTCTCTCTCTCTCTGTCTCTCTAGTGACTGCACATGTCCTAATACAAAAACCTCTTTAAAAAGTACAGACCGGCAGGTGGTTTGGTGGTTAAGGCGCTGGATTCCCACATGGCTGACCGCGGTTCGAGTCCCGGACCTGGTGGGACTCACTTTCTCACTTTCCCTCTCTCTCTCTCTCTGTCTCTTTCTGGTAAATACACATGCCCTCTAGCAACTTAAAACTTAATGATAATAGGAACCAGCAGTTGCTGTAACAGTTATGTCACTGGACTCGCATGTAGTTGACGGCGATGCGAGTCCCGGACCTGGTGGCTTAAACTCACGCCGGGCGCGTGTGCGTGTGTGCCCAAGATCCCGAGAGGAGAATGGAGAAGGGATTGCGGTGTGGCCATCTGCCCCTGGTGGGTGATTTCTCGCTTTCTGTCTTTCTGTCTCTCTCTGTCTGTCTGGTGAACGCATGCGCCCTATAGCAAAAAGCTCTAAAAAAAAAACAAAAAAAATCTTTAGAAAATAAAATGCAGCCAAATGAGAACTGTGGAGAGGGCAGCCCGGGGCCCCCCAGCCACACACCTGAATGCGGTCAGAGTAGTTGTCCAGAAGCAGGACACCGAGGCTTGTCACCTTCTTGGTCTCCACCATGGTCTTGAGATCAGCCAGGAGGTTCATGTGTTTCGACATGTCGGTGGCCAGCACCTGGGGACAGGCACGGGGAAGGTGACAGTGGGAGGACCCTGCCTGCCCCATGGCTCACGCCCGATTCCAGATGCCACACCTACTCACACTCGGACCTGTGACCTCAGCCTCCTCGTCTGGGACGTGGGAGGTTGCAACTGTGTTCATGGCCAATCCAGCTCAGAAGATGTTTGTGGCGGGCCCTCCCAAGGTTGTGAGCTCTGCTGCACCCCCCCGGAGGTGGGACAGGGTGTAGGAGAAGGGGGTGAAGTTTGGGGGCTGGGGTGACCCCTGCTCAAGGTCACAGAGAGGCTTAGCCAGGAACAGAGCTTGTGCAAAGGCCCTGGGGCTGGGTGAGTTGAGTGGGTGGGGAGAATAGAGAGGACATGGTTGAAACTGTAGCTAATGTGGGATCAGCAGTTGGTGTAACGGCTATGTCGCTGGACTCCCGTGTAGCTGACCGCGGTTCGAATCCCGGACCTGGTGGCTTAAAACTCACGCTGGACGTGTGTGCGTGCGTGCCCAAGATCCCGAGAGGAGAATGGAGGAGAAGGGATTGCAGCGTGGCCATCCTCCCTGGGGGGTGATTTCTCGCTTTCTGTCTCTCTGTCTTGCTCTGTCTTTCCAGTGAGTGTGCATGCCCTATAGTAAAAATCTCAACAGCAACAAAAACAAATAATAATAAGTAAAAGAAATAACTGTTTTTAAAAAAAAGAAAAAAAGAAAATGAGGGCTGGCAGGTGGCATGGTGGTTAAGGGTGCTGGATTCCCATCTGGTCAACTGCAGTTCAAGTCCCGGAACTGGTGGCTTGCTTTCTCACTTTCCCTTTCTCTCTCTCTCTCTGTCTGGTCAAATTAAAAAACAAACAAACAGAAGATGGAATTAAATAAATAATTTTTTGGGGGAGAAGTTTTTACTAAAGGGCGCGTGTGCTTCCCAGAAAGACAGAGAGAGACAGAGAGACAGAAAGCGAGAAATCACCCCCCCCCCCCGGGGGGGTGGCCATGCCGCAATCCCTTCTCCTCCACTCTCCTCTCGGGATCTTGGGCACGCACGCACCTGCGCCCGGTGTGAGTTTAAGCCACTGGGTCCAGGACTCGAACCCTGGTCGGCTACATGGGAGTCCAGCGACACAGCCATTACACCAACTGCTGGCCTCTTAAATAAATAATTCTTTAAAATAAATGAAGAAAGAAAATGAGAAAGTTGCACCCGAAATCCCAGAAGGTCACTTCCCACCTG